CTCTCTCTCTCTCTCTCTCTATATATATATATATATATATTTACGTGTATGTAAAATGGTACCCACCTCACAAATTTTTGTACTTTACGAGCCCTCAAAATCATATCATTTTTCAAACTAATTTTAGAGCCTTAAAAGTGGGTCGCTTTCCAAATTTCTTATTGACATTTCTCCGTGTATATATTAAATACATTGTGAGCTTATTAATGAAAACATAAATTGACTGTCAATCGTATATACTAAAATAATTTCCAAAACAATGATTAATAAAACGGCAGAAAATTTTATTACTCAATCATGGTTTGTTCTCCGTACGATAGAAATAATTAAATTAATTATGATATGTTGCTCAATATACAGAATTACCAAAATGCCACCACACCCCCCTCCCTTGATTGTATTAGCTTGTGTGTGAGGGTTTGTTTGGTTAACAGGAATCCAGTTTTATGGCGTATAATTTCGTCTACTTAATTTGATTTTGTAGTTTCTGTTTTTTTTTTTTTTTTTTTTTTTTTTAATCCACAAAAATACTACTCTCCATTCAACAAAATTAAGTATGAGTTAAGTGATTATTTCAATATACTTCTCTTTTCTCTATGTAATTTTCTCCGTTAAGTAGCGGAGTTTCATTGTTATTGTGTCATCTGCTTTTATGAAGAGAACAATTATATTTGTAGAGTTCAAGTTATTAAGACTTTTTTTTTTAAAAAAAAAAAGATAAACAAATTTATTATTAAAAAATATGTGAAAAATGACACAAACAAAATCACTCTAAAACAATTAAAATTTTGAAGTGTAAAAATGATAACTCAACAAAAATAATGCTCTCAAAATTGTATTCCTATAATAGCAAAAAGAGTAGCTAACAAAAGTACAACATGAAAAACCTCCTCAAATAAGAATCCTCATAAAAAAATCATATAACATTAAGTATTTGTGTTTTCTAACTCTATAATAATACAACTATAATATTAAGTACTTGAGTTTTTTAACTCTAAAAACAACCTGCAAAAATTAGAGACAAAATCAAAACAAAACATGTTCACTGTGAAAAGCTTAAGGAAAGGATGCAATAGTATATGAGACTCTATAAAAAAATATCAAAGCAAATTAACATGGAAACCCCTCAAAAAAGCAAAAAACTAACCAATTTTTATCTATTGCTTCATACTAAAACCTCCAAGACATTAAGAATGGGCGTGGGATAAAAAAAATATATTAAAATAATATTAGTACTGCTCGTGAAAATGTCAACAATAAAATAAAATGAAACTTGAAACAAAGCAAAAAGCAAAAACAAGACCTTTAGAACTCTTGATTGGAAAAATGTAAATTGATAACCCATCTGCCACCATTCAAAGTTTTAAAGATAAAAGGCAATAAAAAATTAAAGTGATAAGTTACATTGCTAAAAAATAATAAAAATATATTATTTCTAATTATGAAAAACTTGAAACACTGAGCCTTTGTGGAGATGAGGTAGATATTATTATAAGAAAAATAACTAAGACTATTGATAGATAACACATTAGAATATTTTTAAAATCTTAAAAAATGAACAACATAAGACACTTGAGGCCAAGGCCACACAACTAAACAAAGAGAGCTTAAAGGGAATTTTGACCTAGTTCATGCCCAAACCAAGCATTTATATATAAAAAAGTAATTAAACATGACCATAACACTTGAGCAATCCACACAAAAACGAAAATGGACACTAACACATGTACAAACATCAATATTTAAAGATAAAAGTTAGATAAAATATCAATTTATGCCTATTAAATGGACACATGCATAACATAAGGTGATATATATGATAGAAGCCATTGAAAATAAAAAGCTTGCCACCCAAAAGCTCTCACTTGTTATAGAAAACTCAACACATAGAAAGATGGAAAAAATAAATAAGAACAAGAAGAAATGTTAAGAAAAATGTTGAGACCATGCACTACTACAGAGTTGCTCCCTCAATAAACTAAAGATCATATAGATGCCAGCAATTCCATTTTTTTATTACCTACTTTTGCGAGATTATATGTCATTAAGTTCCTTTCTCTAATAAAATATTTGAAAATGATTAACTTTCTCCTCTCAACTCTGTTAATAACCAACTACTTTATATGATTAAATATCCATGAAACATTATCATTGAAGATCTATGAAATGACCCATATCATATCGTTTCATAATCTCTTTAGAATTAGCCAAAATAGTGGATATCATAATCAAGATTGCCTCATGAATAGTCATAAGCTCTACAATATTATACTCAAGGATAATTATGCTCTTAGAGAAAATATGTGTTATCCTATTACTTTAGCCTCTCAACCATCTATTTTAATAGATGAACCCAAAATTATTCTGTAGCGAAATATTTACATTAAACTATTATTATCTTTAAGGAAGAGGTACCTGAGTGTTGGTCTAAGACTGAGAATGCTAGAATGGATCTCATTGACTTTTTATGAACTGTGAGAATAAATACTTTAAACAATCTTATTTAAGATAATTTTCTTTTCTACAAATATAATTATAGGCTTTTTATGTTTTTTTCCCTCCCCCCTTTTTTAAGTCTTTATCACTAATGACTTTTTGTTTTTCTTTTTTAATGTCATGATATGTTTTTTCCTTCTTCTCATGTTGTTTATTGATTTTTTTTCTCTTTCTTTTTCTACTAACAATCGTATATTTCTTCCTTTTTTCATAACCATTAGATTTTTTTGTTTCTTTTTTGTTTGTCAATCTAAAGATCTATGCACAATTTATTTTATTTTATTTTATTTTATTTATTTTGTTTTCTATTTTTTTTCTCATTTTACTATATTACAACGAGTGCATGCTCACCAAGCTAGGTACATGCTTACTGCTTCTCGAATACGCCTTCGTGGACAGATAAAATTAGGTTGACTAAACTTGGCTTGGTACAAAGTTTGACTCCTTCCGACCTTATATCCATATAGTTCACTTGCCTCAAAAATGTGAAGCATCATTGCCACTCACTCATTGCTAGCTTCTAATATTTGACTCTAGCATTCCTATCATGCGAAGCATCTGGATCAAACCCAAGAATAAAAAGGCTACAAGAAACTCACATACCATTAAGCTAAAGTTGCTTCAAGTGTTTATCATATACTTGTCATCTAGATATTGGTTATGTACCATAAATACTAAGCTTCTTATTGGTGAAAAAGCAAATGTACATAGTAGAATTGTTTTATTGATTTTTTTAAAGAAAACTCTTAAATTAATTAACTTGTGAGTTTAAAAGTAATTCATTTTATTAATTAGATAATATATAAAGGGAACAATGAATACAATGTGTATTCGAATACACATTCTCTTGTAAAGAGAGAGAAATTTCAATCATCCAATTGATGAACGTTTGATCTCTATCATGAAGTGACTATTATAATTTTACACAACTCCATTTATATGTTTAATGAAGTAATTGGATGATTCACATGTTTAAGTAACTATTGTAGTGCATCCTATGTACCTTTAATTCAGGTGTTGCATAAATACTATATTCTAAGATACTTTTTTTTTTTTATGATTAAGAACACAAAAACAGAAAATTTATGTATTTTAATTAAAATTAAAATTGAAATTTATTAAGTTTTAAGACTTAATAAAGTTAAAAGACTTCATAAATGTCATTTCTATAATGTCTGTTAATAAATATTTAAATAAATCAACGGAACAATTCATGTATATAAACATACATACAACCACGAAACATGTAATAAATACTTTGAGGAAGAAAATAGTTTGTGCTAATGATGAGTTAGCAACAAAGAAAATGCAGCAGCCATTTTCAGTTGCCAAACCCACGAATACACTACTGCAAATATCTCTCAATCTCTTCACGTGGACAGCTCGTGACCTAAGTGGCTCTCTCTCTCTCTCTCTCTCTCTATATATATATATATATATATATATATATACACACACACACACACACATACATATATATCTATATATATAACTAGATATAAGACACGAGTGTCCCGAGATTCTCCATGTTATACATAATAAAGAAAATGGAAGGTTATACAACATAAAGAAGATTCTTTATAAACCAAACCCATGGATGGTTTGTGTGCCCCAAAATCACACCCTTAGGGGCATCCATGTATGCTTATATTTAAACCCAGTTGGACCCACAATATCTAGATTCCCTACCAAACTCAAACATCATCATCATCACCATCGTCAAAACAATATTTCCTTCTTGTTCTTATGTGCCTTCCCACACATATAAATACCCCCTCTCTCCTCTCCTCCTCTCACTCGCCACTCACCAAACACACTTCTTTTTCTATCTCTTCATTAATTTCCCTCTATTCAACTCTGTAATTCACCCACAAACAGATTACACACTTATATACATATAAACAACCTAGGGAAACTGATTCATCAAAAGGGCTAACTTGTAGGTAGTGAATATTGTAAAACAAGAAATAAAATCAAAGAATGTCAGGAGTCTGGGTGTTTAAATCGAACGGCGTGATTCGTCTGGTGGAGAATCCACAGGCGGAATCGTCGGGAAGGAGAAAGGTTTTGGTGTATTTGGCTACAGGAGAGGTGATATCGTCGTATTCGTCGCTGGAGCAAATACTGAAGAGCTTAGGGTGGGAGAGGTATTATGGGGGTGACTGTGACCTGTTGCAGTTCCACAAGCGCTCCTCCATTGACCTAATCTCTCTTCCCAGAGACTTCACCAGGTTCAACTCTGTTTACATGTACGACATCGTCATTAAGAACCCAAATTCCTTCCATGTCCGCGACATGTAAGCCCACCTTACTTTTACAATCTTCTTTCTTTCTTCCTTTCTACCGTTTGTTTGCCTCCATATCATTTTTTTCTTTCTGACTTTTCCGTACTCAACGTGGGTTTTTAGTTTGTCTCTACTGTCTAGAGTTGATGGATTGTGAGTAGGGTTTTCTGCGTTCTTTTTCATATGATTATCAGCTATAATGAGTTATATAGATATATATTATGTAATAAAGTGGAAACTATGGTGTTTGCTGTCCACTTGTTAATATCCCTGTGTAATTTGCTTTCAGTTTGCGATGAGATCACTTTGATGTTCCTTGTTAATGTACCAGAAATATTTATAATAGCGTGATTTTCGAGATTATTGATCACCATTAATATTGTTTGGACTTTGATCTTCTATATATATATATATATATATACATATAATAATAATAATATTTGCATGAGTTTGTCCAAAATCCTGGGAGTCTGTAATGGAAAAACAAAAATAGGCAACAGGCGGCTTTTTGCCATGTCAGCTGGTGAAGTAGAATTTGTTTTCAGTTTCACTGTTTTATTGTGAAGAGATAGTGACAAGTCAGCACTGATCACCGGTATCCACAACATATTTTGGGAGGTTATATTTATTTAATTATTATATGAAAGGTATCCCCTTCCTCCCTTTTGCTTCAGTGGTGAACACTGACAATAAATATTTCATCTCTTGATTAGCATATGCCTTTGTGCATATATGTTTTCTCTTTTCTTTTAGAAAATATATATATATATATATCAAGGTACATTTTAATTTATTAAAGGAATCTAATTATCTTAAAAATACTAAATAAAATAAGTTTATTAAAGATTTAATTTAATTTTATCATCATAATACTAAAGTTGTTAGTTATGAGGGTGAAGCTTTTAATTAAGTAAATTAATTAATGATAATTATGTAGAAAACAAATATTGTTGTAATTAATTAGGCGGCTGGTTGATTCTATGAGGTCCCCAAATACGATTGAATTGGACTGAGAGAGAGAGAGAGAAGAAGGGGTGTTGGGGGAAAGGGGGGAGTGGGTGTTCACGTGAAGTGGATGTAGAAAGTTCGTTAAGGAGCCAATGGAAAAATGACATGTGTCAGAAAGGGAATGCGTCAAGTCAGCAAAGTTTTGAGAAGGGCAAGGGGAGGTCACGTGGCACATAGTGGAGAAAAAAACTCTCCATGTGAACCCCCAAAAATTATCCCTCCACTCCGTACAACACATTGTTTTACACTTGAAGTTTTTTTTTTAAAAAAAAAAAAAAAAAGCTTAAAAATTGACGCCTTTGCCTTGCTGTCACTTCCACTAACTCTATCCCCCTTTCTTTGACGCTTACATACTATAAATTGACTTCTCTCTTGTCTGTGCCATATAATTCACTCACTTCTAATGTCCCGCATAGTAATTTACCCGAGTAGTTAAAGTGTGTTTTTCTGGCCGTCATTTTCAATTTAAATGTTTTATGGATAGAATTTTTAGAAATTTTTCTATACATTTCTAGGCTTTTAAGCTATCGTACCCACTTTCATTAATATGGATATGGATCGTACTACTATTGAATAACCCAAAAAAAAAAAAACAAATATAAAGAACTACGCACTCTAGTATTATTGCAATTCAGATTTTTTTAGTTTTTCTTTCAGAATTGTCATTTCATTCTCTTTAATCCTACATAAAATCACTACGTTTTTTCTTACATTTCTTTTATCCTATTTTGATTTATATTTTATTCACCCAACGAAGAATTTTCATGGATTCAACAGAGATTTCTTTACATTTGAAGTCACGTGTTTGCATTCGCGAATTGCAATTCCACTGACAGTCCGTTTGACTCAAACCTGCTGGGTCTTTATTTTGTCTCCACAAAACGAGAACCCTTTTAACTCAAATCAGTAAACTTTACTTGTGGTCCACAAAATTTTAGGATTACATTTATGATGGTGCATCAATAGAATGAACCATCTTCTACCCCACAGGCTGCAGGAGGAAGAAAACCCATTGTTGACAACTTCAAATAGCAATCACTTGTCCATCAATATCAATCACTTCTAGCAAATTCAACACCACTAAACCTGTCGAGAATTTTTGCACTATTTCCAAGATAATATCTATTTTGTGATCTGTTTAAACAAAACAGTATAGTCCTCTTCATGTCAATAAATGCGCCAAGCTGGGTCTTGCAACTTCTCAGTCACCCGCACTGACAGTTTGGTTCTCTTGAAAGCTGAAACCGGACATGTTGTAAAAACCAGGCTAATCTCTTGAAAAATGCCATATTGTGTAGCAACTATTAAGAGAGTGAATAATGAAAACATGCATAATAAATTATGGGAGGATTTGAAACATGCCATATTGTAAGATTCAAGACTAATTTGAAGAATGGATACCTATAGGACGAACCATGTTCGAGTCCAACTAATTTGGACTTAAATTAGTATCAATCTAGCAGCTAAAAGATGCAACGGAGGCAAACTAAATACTTGAGGCTCGTATTTCTGAACACTGACTGAATCACTCACTCTCAAAAGTCATTCCTTTCTAATTCAACCAGACAGCATTTAGATTAAAATACCAAAATTAAGCAAGCAAAAATATATACACACTTTATCCTGTCTCAAGAGAAAGAAAAAGAAGTGACGCCAGTTCTGACTGGAGTATTTCACAACACCCAGGAGCCCATATATCCACTGTGATTATCAAGCTTCAACATGCTTGTAGTGAAATTGATCGATTGTTGAGTAAATCATTCCATCAGTTTCAAGAGAATGGATACAATCTCTGCCATAGCCAGAACAAAAAAAAAAAAAAAATCAATTACCTAGCCACATCATATGCAATACAAACACAAAAGAGAGTTTGAGGACGAGAGTACTCTAGTTTCTGCGTTGGAATTTTCAACTGTTTAGAAATTTCATCAAAGTGTATTCCCTGTTGCCGCTCCCTGCAGATAACCAACATATGAACTCATCACTTCCTTTACTTTAAAACCAACATCAAATAGTATACCAAGTCTAGTAAAATGGATGACAACATTCAAAATTCAAAATTCAGATAACTTGTAAGCTCCATGGCATGCTATCTACACAATATCCAGTAGTCGTACCATTCTGTACAAAATAAGGCCACAACAGAAACATCAAAAAGTAAAAGGTCAACCATCCATGCAGAAAAAGACAAGATCTTCTAATATGTAACTCACATGCTCGAAGGCTGCTTCAAATAGTCAAGTACCAATTCATCCAAGCTCTTGCGCCCATCAATACTAAATTGTGCAGAGACCTACCAAATAAAAACTGCAATGTAATGCAACTCCATGCTATAATGAAATTCAAAAGGAAGAAAGCAGTTGTATCTCTACATGGTTTGATGGGTTTGTCTGGTTCCGTGTGGGAGTATCCATTGCTGAATCTTTCATTTGAGATTGAGTTAGGGAACCAGCTTGCTGCTTCATTTAGAGAGGAAATACACCACGAGTTAGAACATGCACACATCATCACTTAACAATTTATACTGAATGAATGAAAGTATATCTTGTGATGAAAGTAACCTGTGATTTAGAATTTCGCAAATAAAAGTGAACACATTCAATATAGTGGAATGTAACCTCGTCAAAGTTTGTTAAAGGCCTGAAAAAACATTAAATCCAAGATGTGATAGGACACCTTTGTCATGTATTAACATAAGTTAAAATAAGAAGAGAAGCTAAATGCATCCGATCTGAAACAAATTTCAGTTTCTGATAATGCATTAACAAAAAAAAACCATGTCCTAATCTCTATGAGAAAATGAACCTATATCGCTGCTGCAAAATAAGACCACCTACTATGGTACCGATTATGAATCTTATGGGATTTTGATAATAGCATAGAATCATTAAGAGAAAACTCGACAATCTCTGATTTTTGTTAATAGTATGGAATCATTAAGAGAGAATTCAACGATCTCTTAAATAAGACAAGTACTCAAAACTTGTCAAATAATTCTTTCTTCTTGATCTGTCAGTGAAGATAGTTTGGTCTTTTAATACAAGGAGAAAAAGTTATTCTGGAAGTTATTTTCCAAAATTCTCATAATTTCTCATAACTAACCATATTCATTATCCTAGCCTTACCCTTTTTTCTCTCCATTACACATCCTCCTGCTCACCAATATAGCACATAGACATAAAACAAGAAAAGCAGTTTCTAGAAGTTATTTTCCAGGGCAGAATAACTACCCATCTATTTCTCCAATATTTCTCCTACTAACACTCACAATACTTCATAAAAGTACAACATATAAATCTACAAATAGCATCATTATGCAGCACATACACCTATCTAATACTCATAAACTTATATAATACCACATACAACTATTTACTAATTACGTAATTTCTTCCTTCTTTAATACAACTTACCAAAGGGCGTTGTTTTTCTACTTTTGTTCCTAATATCACTTCTCCCCTTGAAATGGCGCTTAACTGCCATTGCAGCATTTTTTTATTATGGCAGTGCTGGAATTTCAGAATTTTCTTCATTGCCAGAACTACAGTCTTCCACTTCTAACCAGAACAACTTTTTAAAGCAATAACCTGGTTCAAATTTTTATCACAATTATAACACAATCCTTGCGCTTGTCAATGGTATCTCCCGAATGGACAGCTTCTGCATTGCAGTGGCAAGTGGATCTGGATGATGTCCGGAACGGAAATATGGTGGTGGCTGTGGCAGGAAATAATGCAGTAAAGATGCCTTGGAGAGACCAGCTC